CCGCGGGCGGCAGGGCCCGCGCCGACATCGCCCTGGGCGGCGTGGACAGGGGCCAGCCCTACCTGCAGGTGAGCGCCGCCTCCGGCCTCTCCCCTTCCCCGCGCTCCCCCTGCTCTGCTCCTTGCCTCCCCACCTGCACAGCTTTCCACGGGGGCCAGTTACACCCGCCCTTGTCTCTGCCTCTTTCTCTCCCTGCCCCTGGCTCTACTCCTGCCTCTGCCCGGCTGCTTCTGATGCCAGTACCGCTGCCCCTTCCCCACCTGTCTCTGTCTGCGTCTGTGTCCCTGCCCCTGCCCACAAGGCTTGGTTATTCAGAATTACTGCCATCGCCTGTGCCTTCCCCTTTCCCCACCTCCTCCCCGCTGGTCCTCCAGAGCTAACTTTTCAGCTGGGAAGTAAAGTAGAGGGAAGCCAAAATCATTGGCTCTTTCTGTACAACTTGGTTTAATACCATTTTGAGGTTGAAAAGTTTCCTAGGCATTGCTTAAGTCTTTGAAAGAGGGGTGGAAGACCTAGCACCTCAGCCTCATTGGTGCACAACTAGTAAAAAAAAACACTTTCTTTTAGCGGTTTAGTCAGAGAGCTGAGAATTGGGCTCTGTCTTAGTGATCATCCCAGGTCCCTTTCAGATTCTCCTTTCCAACCCATTTAGCAGTCCCAACCCAAGCTGGGGGAGCAGGGGTGCAGCCTCTTCACCTGTAGACATCCTCATTTACTGCTCATCCCCTATGTGCTGGAAGCAGCCCTAGGTTTTTTCTGTTTCAACAACAGAAGTCAACAGCGACACCCTGGGTGTTTCTGTGTTTGCTAAACCTAGCTCCCAATATGACAGGCTCCCAAGACAATTTCATGGGCTTTTCCCAGACAACTTGTTTTAATACCATTTGGGGTTCAAAAGTTTGCTAGGCATTGCTTAAGTTTTTGAAACAGGAGTTGAGGACCTATCATCTCAGCTTCATTGGTACGTAGCTAGTAAAACTGTCCCAACAGGGCTTACAAACTGGTAAGATAACAGTTAGGCAAGAGAAGCACTGAGCAGCATCTTCCTCTACCAGTGTAAATCTGGAGCAAGCCCTTTAAACCCAGTGGTTACATAAGGGCAAATTGGATTAAGCCAAAGGAATCGGGTCTAATGTCTACAAAGTATGAACCAGATTGAGTCACCCTTATTTGCCTGCACCATAGTTTATTTTCCTAGTAGCATCAGTGACTTCAAAGAAAACACTCAGAGGTACAGTAGTATTCAACATGAATGGAAGGTGTCAGAAGCTTTAAAGGAATGACCTTTCTTTTTTTCCCTCCATGAACTACTAGAAGTAATTTAATTATTGAAATCATCTATTACCTACCAGAGAATGTTTATTTTAAGCATGTCGAATCTTAAAAATTTCAGTAGGAAAGCTTGAGTCCTAACCATTCTCCCTGGCATCTGCTTAACAAATAGAATTTCTAAAATGAACTGATATTTTGAACATTTTAACACAACTAACACCTATGGAGTTTTTTCTTTACTTTCCTGACTGCAGCGTAGGCTGATATTTATCTTACTTAAATTAAAACCTATGATTTCCATCAGCAAGGTATTTTCTTTGTGCTGCTTTTAAACTGAAGGTATGTTTTTTTCCAGAGATTCTAAATCTAAGTAAAACACAAAACCAAATGATAGTAATTTAGTTATCTGGAAATATACTTCATAGATTCGCAGCATTTCAGACCAGAATGGACTGTTAGTTTACCCAGTTTGTGTATCACAGGATATCCTGTTACCATGTGTACTGAGTCCAATAACTTGCATTTGACTAAAGCATAACTTGTGTTTGGCTAATGAGCATCATCTAGACAGGCATCCAGTCTTGTTTTAAAGATGCTGGGAGATGGGGAATCCATCATTTACCTCTGGATTTCGATCCAGTTGTTAAAAAGTTAGTTTTGCCTTATTTTGAATTTAAATGCGTTTGGCCATTTGTAGCTATTGTTTCTTTTTTATTTCTTTTGTTTGGGGGGAGGGTTGTGAGTTTTTACAATTTTGTTGCTGTTGTTTTCCCTGTCTCCCCTAGATTAAATATCTTTTTAGTACCCTGCATTTTCTCCTGGGAAGAACAGATGAATATACTGAAATCAAGTCATCTCTTGGTCTCTTTCCTGATAAACTAAAAAGGTTAAGCATTCTAAGTCTCTTACTGGAAAGCATTTTCTCTAGCACTAGAATCATTTTTGTGGGTCTTGTTTGCACTCTCCTTCCTTCCCCATCCTTACTAAAATGTACAGTATTCTATTATACTTCAAAATGTTTTGTTCTTTCTTATCCACAGTAAATTGTAACTGAAACAAAAAGATGATTGATACTAATGACTTCATGCTGTTACAAAATACATAATGCTGTTTTTCTTGACCTGCACATTTGACTCATAAGCATATGATGTGCAAAGTGCAATGGATTATTCTGCTGAAGTGTGAAACAGAGTGTCTGGCTAAAATGCCAGTATTTAGTAAGCTGGCTGTTGTCTTTTTCCCTGTCTTCCTTTGCTCAGCCCTAAGGCAAGATCCTACTTAATTATTCTTGTAAGAACAGAAGTAAAATCCAAAAAACAAGCTCTAAAGAAAAAAATAAGTTTGTTTCAAAACAGGGTATTACCAGGAAGCCTTTAGAGATTGATAGCTTAAGAATCTTATTTGAACTATACCCAACCCAACTATTACACAGCTACAATATTATCAAAGTCATTTAAAATATTTAATGCTTTTCATATCATCATCTCCAGTATATATTTCTAAATAGGACATTGTTTCACACTTACTGGAGGATGATGACTTTGATGGTGTATGTATTGTATGACCAGTTCAATGCTATAAAATGCATCGCCTCTGTAATAAGGAAGGTGAAATTGCATTTTCTTTATTCCATTATAACAAAGTGCTTGTGCTCCATGGTCATCAGTAGTACAATGTGTCTTGGCCTACATTTTGAAAAGGAGATCCTCTATGGGTGTATCAAAGTTCTGACATACCTTAAAAGAAGTCTAATTTTCAAAAGACGAGCAGAAATCTGGTCCCTTTAAAATGTTTCAAGGTGAATACTAAAATCACAAGTTTCTTGTAAAGCTGTAGGTCCTTATCTGTTTTCTTTTACCAGCTCTGACCTCCTTTCTATTTTTAAAAAGTCACAATAAGAAAAACTTCTTCACCTGAGAATAGATGTTATAACCACAGTGAAAAATATAGTGATCAATATGTTAAAATTGGATTCTGTCAATTACTCTGTAAAAGATCAGTTTACTAAGGTGGATGAAAGCTTGCAGATGACTCCCAGGCTACAAAAAATCATTTTCCTTGCATACACTTATCTTTCTTTCACAAATATCCCCACGACTACCACAACCAGCACCACTGGGAAGTGTCTTTCCAAAAAATAAGTAAATGAAAAAGGAAGAATAATATTTCAGGTTGTGGATATATAGCAGACAGGAAACAAAGAGTGGGAATAGATGGTCAGTTCTCACAGTGGAGAGAGATTAGGAGTGGGGTTTCCTGAGGCCAGGTACAGACATTACACTTTTACTGGTAAACGTGATCGAAAACCAGTCTCTAAACCTATAATAGAATAGAAGTTCGGCAACCACAGACTGGTTTAAAAATGGCAGAACCCAGTCTAAGGTAGGCAGCCTGAGATTTCCCCCCTCCCCGCAAAAAAGGGGGAATGTGTGTTCTGCTCACTATGGATCTAAAATATGCTGCTTACAGAAAACCATGCAACTTAGATCTATTTTGCCTTGGCTTTTTGAATGTCTGTATCTAGCTCAAGTGGCTATGTTGTTTAACACAGTCTATTTAACATGTTCATAAATGATTTGGAAAAGGACAGGAATAGTGAGTGGGGTAGCCAAGTTTGCGATATACAACATTTTTAAAAGTGCTTAAAAACAAAGCTGATTCTGAAGAATGGCAGAAAAACCTTGTGCATTTGAGTGAAAGGGCAGCAAAACACCAGGTAAAGTTCAATATTTGTAGATACAAAATGATGCACATAAGAAAAATAACCTGAGGCACTTACACAATGATGAGCCCTACATTAGCTGGTAATGCTCGAGACAGATCTTGGAACTATGGTGGTTAGTCCTCTCAAAATATCACCTCAGTCTTCAGCAGCAGTCAAAAAGGCAAATAGTTATTATTAAGGGAACTGAAAACAAAATAAAAAATGTTATATTTCTGCATAAATCTGTGGCATACCTACATCTTGAATTCTGAGGGTTCTGGTTCCCCAATCTCTAAAAGGATATAATAGAACTAAAACAGGTACAGAAAATGGCAACAAGGATGATGGGAGAGGGGGATAATGGAGAGGCTTTCATTTGAAGAAACTAGGCTAGAACATATGAGGTTGGAGAAAGATGAGTGAGGGTTAGGATAGAGATCTGTAAGATAATGAATAGTGCAGAGAAAGGAAATAAGCATTTACTATTTACCATTTCTTACAATACCAGAACTATTTTGAATGTCTGTACCTAGGATATACAATGAAATTATTAGGAAGTGATTTAAAACAAACAAAGGGAAGTTCTTTGTCACTCCGCATGTAATTAATGTATGGAACCACAAATTAATGTGGAATGTTGTTGAGGCTGATTGTTTCACCAACTTCAAATGAAGATAGGACTAATTTGTGCAGGATGAGTCCATCACTAGATATCAAATATGAAAGTTGGGGTTGCAGCCAACAAAGTAAAGGGGCAGTCTGGACAAGCCCACCTCTTTCCTGTAGTATCAACTCTGCCAGTGTGATTTACAGCAGGCTGGGCTGGATGGACCTGTGATTTGGCTCAGTGTGACACATCTTCTGCTTTATATTAGATGTTGATCTTTAATTATTTTAAGTGTTCCTTTGATTTTGATGTTAAAACTTTTGTTTCATCAGGACCATGGAGGAACAGAAGGGATTATTTGGTGTGGAGAGCAAAGGGCAGAAAGTACCTGTAAGACAATTTCATTAATCAGTTTAGATAGATCAATCAGACTGAAAGGTACAATTATACCATAGAAAAGAGTGGCTCTGGGAAGGGAGGGCAGG